CCTGCGGTGAGCCACCCCGCCTGTCAAGTCCCAGCTCCCAATAGCACATACAGTCACAAACACAACAGTGAATTAATTGGTCCCTTACTGAGTGTAGTGCCCCTATGGCCTGCTTAACTTTTAAAAGTCCCACTTCTGGACACGTGAGACTTTGAGAGGCCATTCAGCATCTAAACCATAACATTGTGCCCCTGCCCCCAAAAGACGCCTCCCTGTCTCATTATGTAAAATATATTTGGTCCATCTCTTAGAGTAGGCAGTTTTCACAGTTCCAGCAGTGCTGAAAAATCGAAGTCCAAAGTCTGTCTGAGACACAGGCAAACTCTTAGCTCTGCAACCAAAAAGAAAGTTAAATACTTCAACATACATTGGGACAGGGTAAACATTGTGATTCCGGAACGGAAGGACAGGGAAATAGAAAAGAATTGGACCAAAGTAAGACCAAAACTCACAGAGTAACACATTAAATCTTGTAGTTTGTGTCCAGCCCCTGGGCCAGTTGTAGTAGATGTGAATTCCAAAGGGCTTGGGCACGTGGCTCCTATGACATTGCTAGGTGCAGCCCCGCGCTCTCTAGGGCTGGCTCTGTTCACTGTCTGTGGCTTTCCTCAGCAGACCACTTGTGTTTTGGGTGTCTCCACCTTCCTGGGGTTTCCATTACATTTTTGGCTTTACACTTAGTTTCTAGCCTTGCCTTCTCAGGGGTATAGTGCTTGGCCTCCCTACCGTCCTCTGAAATCTGGGTGAAAACATTTGTGACCCCTAACTCTTACATTCTGCATGCCTAGAAAACCAGCACGATGGTTGGTGCCAAGGTCTGTTACCAGCATAAGCAGCAGCCTGGTCTCCTTGAATCTCAGCAGTAGGCACCTCTGAGTGCCGGGATGAATAAACTTAGTGTTTAAGTCTACTTTTTTATCTTAACTGTCACTGCAGATCTGGCTGAAAAGTAACCAGCACTACCATTCCATAGCATGAATGTTTTGCTATCTTGAAATTTTCTCCTCCAGCCACCTTTAAATTCAGCTCATATAAAGTCTTAGGACACAGATAAAACATAGACAAATTCTATGTCATAATTAAATGTACATGACCTTTTCCAGCATAATTCTCATTGCCATCTGAAACCTCAGAAGCCTGGCCTTTATTATCTGCATTTCTGTCAGCATTCTGGTCTTCTGAGTACCAATCAGAATTAACTTTTAAGTAGAGGTTTTTCAGATTTTTTTCCAAACTTCCTTCTTTAAATTGGTTATGAGACTTCTAAACCAGTAGTGAGGTGCAGTCATAGCAACCACCCTGTGCTCAGTACCAAAACCTGTGTTAGTGTTCTCTAAAGGAACAGAGTCAGTAAAAGATACATGGGTAGTAATGTAAGGGGATCTATCAGTTAGGCTTACAGGATCGGAGGCAGCAGAGTCGACAGTGGCCATTTGTAGGATCAGAGGTGGCAGCGTCTACGATGGTTGTTTGCACTAGAGAGTGGAAGATCCAGTAGATGCTCACTCAGCCCAAGAAGATGGGGACTGCAGAACAAAAGGGTCAAGAATGCAGCGCCCGGCCGCAGTCAGAGGCCTGGAAGTTCACTGGACCGTGCTGGGATAAGTGTATTGGAAGAAACTGACGATTCCTGTGCACAGGGTCAGGGTTAGTGTGGTCAGTGTATTTCGTGGTTTTAAAAGCTATCAGACAGACTTTGTTTCCACTTTTCAGAAGAATTCAATAATTATTTTTCAGTTATGCTTTAATAAAACTAACGCATAGTAGTTACCACTTTTTTGTACCTACTGTTTGTCAGCCATTGCGTAAAGTAGATTTTTACCACAACATTGCTGGCTAGTAAAGAACCATTTTAAACATAATTTAATGCATGTGTCAATCACTAGACTATAGAAATAAGTTTTTATTGGCAGTCATTTAGTATCTAGCAGAAGTATTTTTCCCTATTGCTATTCTTTAGCCTCCTACTCTCACATATCTTTTTAGTATGGGCAGGTTGCCAAACAAAACATACTAGATGGATCAGATACCTTATTTGTCTTTCTGTCTTCACTGCCTGTTTGTAATTGTGGTACTGCTGTACCAGTGTCTAGGTAGAGTATTAATTGGGCTTCCCCACAAGTTCTTTTTGTATGTAAAAGTGTTAAAATATTCCTGTTGCTTTCTAGATAAACTTAGAAAAATGCAGTGGCCAAAATGTTTAGGTGCATGGTTGAAAGACACTGCCTTATTGAATTCAAAGTTCTGAGTTAAGAGTTGATGAATTTTCTGCTAACTTTTCACTCTCATATGTACCCATATGAAAGATTGGGGAAGGGAGTGGTGCAATAAAATACTAGCCAGTACTGATTTACTTATAATTCATGTCTAGGACAGAATTGACAGAGTTGCCCATCTCTCATAATTCTAAGTCTATTATCTTTTACTTGCTTGATAACTCTTTAAATTTTTATTTATGTATTTTTTGCTGCTCCTTGGGTTGAACCTAACACACTGGACTGCATTCCCAGCCCAATTTTAAGTTTTTAAATTTTGAGACAGTGCCTTGGTAAGTCTAAATTTTGTGGGCTTGGTTTGGATTGGAATTCTCTTGCCCTCAGCCTCAGTGTTGGGATTACAGGTGTGTGCCGTCACCTGTGGCTTTCTCTTTTCTTTTGAGCTTACAAAATTAGATAGGTTCCTCATCCCGGTAGTAGTTCAGGGAGAAAAAAATATGAAAGTAAATTCTTTCTGTCATTTATTTTCTCATTTTTGAAATTGAACATAAAGTTGCATGATTGAAATTGTGTGCTACTCATGTGGTAACTAGCAATTAAAGGTGATTTAAAAGGTTTGTGTAGTGTTTGTGTTTTAAAAGTGGTATCTTCATTTTTGTCTTATTTGTGAGTCTGAGTTGCTCAGAATTAGAGCAAAGGATATTTCTGTGCCTCAGTGACTATGGATCTGTTTGGCCCAATCCCCCATCTTCAGAATCATGGATCTTAAATATTCTTGAGGATCTCATATTTGACGTGCTTTTCTTCATGAAAACTTTGGGGAGGACCTTTTTTGCAGATGATGAGAAAAGCTTGTTTGAATACTTTTGGTATTCTCCAAAGGCAGAGGTTGGAGAAGTTGCTCTCAGCCCTTGAAGTGGCTGGGTGGGTGGGGCCTAGAGTTGCTGAATTCTGATTTTTCCAAGGAATTGAAATTTTTTTTTTTTGTTTTGTTACTGAAGCCCATGACTAGAAAAAAGCTAAGCAGTAATGTCTTAGAGGGTAGAGCAGTGGTTGGGAAGTGTGATGAGGATAATTTCTTTATTATCAAATTCTGGGTTGCAAACAACAGAAACATTATAAAGTTAATTTGTATTACCTGTTATTTAACCAGCTAGAGTTGAGTTGTGTGGTGTTTCGTATATCAAATTTATTCCCAGATCAATAAACACTTGAATGTTTTCTGTAGCAGGCAATGATCTTAGGTTTTAGACTACAAAGAATCTCCTCCCAGGACACTTGTTTTATGTAAATAATTTAAGATGTTTGACCATACCTGGTTGTATGTCAGAGGAGGCTCTGTTTATTTCTGCTGATTGGTTATTGATTACATGAAAGTTCCTCTGATGGAATAAATATGATCACAAATTTTATAATCTTTTTTTGATCAGTAATTTAAAATTCTGCCCTACAAATACTGTAATCTCTGTTATCTAAAAATCTTCACAGGTTATTTGTGGTACCATTTTGTTATCTCCCAGTGAAAGCTGAGGTGGGAAAAGGATTGTAAAATCGTTTTTTTTTTGTTTTTGTTTTTTTTTTTTTTTTTTTTTTAAAGTAGGCTGGTATACATATAATAAACTGTGAAGTGAGTGTACATAAAAGTATTAGTACTGTGATAACAAAGCCAAGATTTGCTGCAAATCCTTACAGCTCAAGTTCTGTTGCAGAGTATCTATATAAATTCTAAAAAGAAAGATTCTGTAAGATGCATTGATAAAGAAATATGGCTGGAGAATAAAAGGTGCTGTTGTCAGGTGTGGTGGTGTAATCCCTGTAATCCCAGCACTGGGGAGGCCAGGGTGGGAGGATTGTCAATCTGAGGCCACCCTGGACCTCATATGTGGTGGGTTCAAGGCCAGCTGAGCTACATAGCAAACCTGGTCTCAAAAACCAGCCAAACTACCAGACAGTCAGTCTTAAAGCAAACAAACAACTGAACCAAAAAAGAAAAGAAGAAGCATTGTCACGGTCTATTTAAATTACAGAGGAAATGCACATGTGTATGTGTATGTAGAAAAAAACTAGTAAAATGTAAACAGTGATTATTTGGGGGTAATTGGATTAATAAGTATATAATATTTTAGAAAATGCTATGTATTATATAGATGTGTATCTATAAAACATATATGTTAATCTCTTAATTTTTTGGCTTTTCTATATTTTATATGTTTTACTTTTGTAATGAATAAACATTACTACCTCCCCATTCATACCCCAAAGAAACTGCTTCAAGAATGTAATTATTTGGAATACTTGTGTTATGAATTTGAAGTTGACTGTACCATAATGCATTTAGTCCTTTATGGTTGCAGAATGTTTCAGTTCCTGAAATGAATGTTCAACTTGAGGCAAAATAGTTTTTTATTAAAGATGTTAAATTATAACATTGTAGATGCAACGTTTTACAGTTTTTTGGTAGATTTGGTGAAACAAATGATTCTTATAGTGACTGCAATTTTCCTTTGCAAAAATGTGTTAATACCTTTGAAAAATGTAAGCTTGAAGCACTGAGCACTATTATTTGATAGATTGTAGTGTAGTGATTTGTGATTTAGGTGATTTAGGTGATTTAGGTAGTTTTCATAATTTTAAGAAATTCATTATTGTCTTTCAAAATACTGTCCTAAACTATTTGTTTATAAGCAAAATTTTCCGTCTTTTTAATATGAATTTCTTATGCTATCAGAAGAGTACTTGTTCTGTAGTACTTGAAACTTTTACTTCTTATTTGTTATTTCTCAGGTAAACGCAAAGCACTGAAGTTGAATTTTGCAAACCCACCTGTCAAATCTACAGCAAGGTTTACTCTGAATCCCAATACTACAGGAGTCCAAAACCCACACATGTGAGTATTCTTCTTAATCAAGTAAAAGGCTCGACTCAGGCAAAGGATTTTCCAAGCAGAGAGATTGGTACTTTCATTATCTTATGAACTTAAACAGGAAGTTACTGATTCTGTAGCCCTCAGTTGGTGAATGCAGTTCGCTCTTTCAAAAATTGGGGAAAAAAGAACAAAAGATCTAAGTACATGTATATATTTTATTTTTGATACCTCTTACTAAACTCTGAGATTATTGTTTATACTTTTTCTTATGGCTTTTCAGTTCAATTGCAAGTTAAGCGTCCACTGCCTGTGTAAATCCTCCCATTGCTGATCAACACAGTAGATTTCCTTTTAACCGTACTCATTTCTTCCATTCAGAGTTCTCTTTGATGACATCCTTAGCCTGGCACTTTTTGCCATAGTCCTTAATCACTGCACATTGGCAACCAACACCTTTATGGGGTTTTCCCTTGTACAGAGGTCCTTCCATTTTCCCAATTTCTTATCGCCATCAACCTTAATTAGGTCTTGGTGCTTAGCACAAAGGGCCCTCACTAATTTGATACACGTACATAGGCTTATTACAGTTGGATGTAGGCACACAAAGTTGGGCTTGGTATAAAAATTCATCTCGAAATCCCAGATGCTCCTGCAACAGATACCAGCTTAATGTTCTGTTAGTTTATTGCAATGCTCAATTTGCTAACTGCTAAATGAAATGAAGCTGTCCGTCCACTCTGCTGTTGGTGTGAAGCTGACTGGCTGCCTGATTCACAGGTTTGTCAGACTGTTATATTTCACCTATTAGAGGGGTATCCAGCAAGTTAAGTCATCAGTCTCTTTCTTCAGTGAGCTAAATTCCTGTAAGATTTCCATGTCCTAGTAAGTTGAAAGAATTGTGTATATGTTAGTATATAGATGTCAGTGATTATTTTTGATTTATTAATTGAATATTTTAAATTAAAAATAGATATTGTAGTATCTCACTGGAAATGTTAGAAATAAGTTAATTTAAAATAATCTAATCAGAAAAATATTTTATGTAGTTTCACTGAATCTAAGTGGTCCAATGAAATAATAATTCTGTATAGCAGTATTTTATAATAATACTAATAATTTACAGGTAGTCCTGGCATAAAGACCTATAAAGCAAGTGGTAGGATGTGTGATTAAAACGCTGGTGCAACCAGGGTTATAGCTTAGCGGCAAAGCGCCTGTCTGCCAAGTGCAAGGTCATGAGTTCAATCCCTGGCACCAATAAATAAATAAATAAATAAGCTGGTGCAAAATGCATTGTTTTATATTTTAAAATAATTTTCTAACAGTTTGGGTTCAAACTTCATCAGATATCAGTGTATTTAATCTTCCTAGAAAGGCATGCATTATATTTGCCAACAGGCAGGTTGTTAGAAGGTATGACGTCTTTTGACAGAGATGCTTTAAACTTGTTTTTTAAGATACCTACCTCTGCAAAGGAGGGGTGTGTATATATACCTGCAACCTTAGAGAGAGTGAAAGACATAGTATATGAAAACTTCAGTAATAATTTATTTGACTAGGATTGCCATCAATTTTATTAGACTGATAATTCATAAATAGATTTATCAGAGCTCAAATGAGTCCCAACCTTTTTAGCTTCTTTGAATAATACGTGGGGAGCTACATTGAGCAACAAAACCTAGTGCTTCTTAATTAATCATAGCTCTAATGGCAAGGAATGTTTTTTTTGGACAGATCTCACTATGCAGTGCAGGCTAGCCTTGACCTCATTTTGTAGCCCAGGCTGGTCTCTGAGGTGATAATGATTCTCCTGCCTCAGCCTCCTGAGTGCTAGGAATACAGGCATTTGCCACCATACCCAGCTAGCAAGGAAGTATTCTTAAAGAAACCTTCCTATTCATTTTCTAGAATTTCTAGTAAAAGCTAGTATAAAAGTAATTCTTGAGGCCGGAGGTTTAGCTCAGTGACACAAGCACCTGTCTGGCAAGTGTGAGGTCATGAGTTCGATCCCTGGTACCAAAAAAAAAAAAAACCCAAAAAACAAAAAACCAACAACAAAAACCAAGTAATTCTTAAACATAGTCCATTGTATTGCCTTGGCTACTAGCTGAACCACAAACTTAAGAAAGAAGAGATTTAAGTAGTAATTATGACACTTAACAGATCTCTCTACTTTTAAACCTCTTTGAACAGGAGACTTAATTTTAGAACTGGAAAGACATTTACATATTTGTATTCTTTCTTTTCGTTTGTAGTTTCATCACTTACGAGGAATTAGTGCACAAAAATCTCTTTTTCTTTTAACAAGTAGACACAGAATTAAAATTTTTTTTCTAAAAGTTGAATTGGATGAGTATTTTGTTTTTTAACTAGTGCTTTATAATAATCATGATGAGCTATGGTTTTTACTCTGTCTTCTCAGCAATTACTAAAAGTTTGGGAGGACAGAATAGGAGGGATCTTGGTCTTACAGCACACTCTTTAGAACTTCGTTGTGGCATATAAAAATGTTAGACCCACACCTTGTTGGAGTTTTAGTATTACACAGTGCTATACATCTGGATAAAGACTAGGAAAATTACTGGTTCTGATACTAGTTAGTAATAAATGTTTTATATGACAGAGAGGGTGTATCCCTGCTTCCCCATGCCCGTCTATAGGGTAGTTCTTTGTTCTCTTTCTCTGAGCTGTTTACCATCAGACAGTAAAAAGCATTGCTGGTCACCGTTTAGGATAAGTACTTTGTTTTTTTTTTTTTTTTTTTTTTTTTTTGGTCTTTTTCCTTTTTATCGATACTGGGGATCGAACTCATGACTGCCTGCTTGCAAGGCAGGCGCTTATGCCGCTGAGCTAAATCCCCAGCCCCAGGATAAGTACTTTGAACTTATAATTTATAATGCAGTAGGTGGGAACTTTAAAGTAACATTACATGACATATCTCTTGTTGTTTGTGTTTTTTCTCCTAAAATCCAGGAACTTTAGTTATGACTATCAGTATAAAACTTGTTCATGAATTTAGAAAAGAAAGAATAAAATTATGTTCAGGAACTAGTTTTAAATCTACCTGGTGTTTTGATTTCTTCTGAATGTGGCGGTCTTTGGAGGATTTAAAGAAACAGTGCAGGACAGCATTTTTAATTTGTGAAAGCCAACAGTTATAAAGAAATTCCAAGAAATGACATTGATGTTCAAGAACTAAGTCTTGACTGGGTGTGGTGGCACTTGCTTGTCATCCCAGCATGCTGAGGTTGAGGAAGGAGGATCACTGCCCACTGGGGTTAGCCTGTGCCACGTGGTGAATTCAAAGCCAGCCTGGACTGATAGTGAGACCCTGTCTCAAACCACACACACACGAAATAAGGCAAAAGGTAATTAGATTGATTATCAGATGACAGTTGCAGGGAGCGTGTATCAGTTTTGAAGAAACATTTGGCAAGAAGTTTCACAGAGGATGAAGAATTGAGTTGGATTTTGAGTGATAGGGAAGGACAGGCTGAGGGAAGGGACAATGCCATTCTGGTGAGTTTTGGGAACCTCTGTAGATCTTAATTGTACCAGAGATGTTACTTCCAGATGACTTACTTTTCTCTTTCAAATTTTTAGCATTGTTTCTTTCTGATTGACGTAGAATTATGTGAAGATCTGACAAGGTATAGGGTATCTTTCTTTCGCCAACCTCTTTTAGTTTGAAAATTTATGTATCTATCTCAAAGAAAATTTCTGCAGCTTTCTTGCTTTACTTTTGATGTATTCCTTCATGTTTTTCCTATTTAGTTATTTGATTGAGGGGTTATCTGAATTCCCGGTTTTTGCTTCTTGTTTGTTTTTGTTTCTGACTTTTCAAAGATTTTCCTACTTTTTAAATTTTCTCTGTCAATCTGTCTATCTGTCTATCTATCTATCTATCTATTCCCCGCCTTTTTGAGACAGTATGTATTCACTATGTATTTCATTCACTTACTTTGTAGTCCAGGCTGACCTTGAACTCATAGTGATCCTCCTGTCTCAGCCTCCTGAGTGCTGGGGTTATAGGCATGTGCTGCCATGCTCAGCAAGTCTTTTATATATTGATCCCTTGATGGATTATTCTATTCTGGCAATCTATTTTATTTTTTGTTTGTTTCCTTAAAAGTGATTCCATCATGTTGATTTATTATAAATTTATTTCCACAATAAATTAGGGTATTCAAAAACCTTTTTAAAGAAAATGTTATTAGTATGTATTTGGAGTACTTAATGATCACATTCATTATGGAAAATTGGTACATGTATGGAACACATCACAATTCTTTTTTTCCCTTTCTCTACCCCCCATTTAAAATTTAATTTCTTTTGCCAGCATCAGATTTACTTATTTTATAAGTCTTTATCAGGTTAACTGTAAGCAGAGACTAATAGCTAACCAGCCAAAAATATGTAAAAACACATAAAGCAGTTGTACTAAATTAAGTTAAACTTTAGGTGCATTGGCCATGCTGTATTACAGTAACTTTTTCCTGCTTTTTTTCCCTATTATCTCTTTTATTTGCACTTTATATATTTATTTGCTTTCTCATGTGAGAAGAGAAGCCATTTTATATTTAAGCTTGTGTCTGATTTGTTCCACTTAACATGATGGTCTCAGTACACCCATTTTCCCGTGACGCACGTGTATGTTTCCCCATGGCAAAGTAGTACTCCCATTTTGTGTGACTATCACATATTCTTTATCCATTCACCTGCTGATAGGCTGCTTCCAAGATTTAGTTATTATAAATTGTGCTGCTGTAAACATGGATATGTATGCATTATGGAGATACAGTATCTTTAACTTTTTTGGGAAGATAGCTAGAAGGACAACAGCTAGGTCAAGTGGAACCTCTAGTTCTGTTTTGTTTGTTTGTTTAGGAATCCCTATATTGGTCTCCCAGGGGGTGAACCAGTTTACATTCCCATCAGCAATGATGAAAGGTCCCCTTTGCCCCACAGCCTCGCCAGTATTTGTTACAGTTGATTTTGATTTTGACTTGTTAGGGTTGATT